ACTGTTGGACCCTCAAAAGGTCAGTTGAAGATTTGATTGAAGATGAAAGAATTATTTTTCGGGATGAAGAAGCTCCTGATGTGATGAACAATCTGTTGCCTGCCCACAACATCGGGCCAATAGTCGGGATGATTTGTGAAGCTGAGGAATTTGATCCGGCACTGAAGGCCATTGCAGCCATTGCCGAGATAGAAGAAAAGCCAAAAAATGGTTGTCAAGCATGAAAGTTCCCCATCAGACGGGAGTCTTAGTAGCCAGTCTTGCTATCCTTTCTGCATCCGGATTATCTCAGGGTGTGATCCGGATGTTTTACTTTATTGTCTTACTTTCCGATGTAAACCCTTCTATCTTCAAAAATTGAAAAAAAATTAATTAAAAAAAAATTAAAATAAAAAATCAAATGAAATTAATATTTCATTGTCCAGGAATGTCTCTTTTCTTAATCTTGTCATTTTTCTTATTCTCTTTTCAATTCTATTAAAAGCATATTTCAATAACATGACATGCTTGCGGACTTCATGCCCAGATCCTGAAACGCTGTCAGACCTCAAAATAATGAATCAAGAATTAGATCGCAATGAAGATAAGTTTAAGAAAATAAAACAAAGAGTTGGAACATCTGAAGGAAAATTGGTTCTAGATTGGAAAGGTCCATACATTGCAACAAGAGTACTGCCAAAAGAGTGCGTTGTACTTGGGATACATCGAAGGAAATGTCCCTGAAACAACTATCAATGCAAATGCAGTCAAAAGGTACTCTGTTTGATCCTCCATATAGCATTAATGTTCTCCGGTTGGGATGAAGAAGGCTTTTATTCTCGCTACCCAAACATTACCAACCATTTGCAAACCCTTTGAGCCGGTTACTCTTCTTTGATTACCCGATTTGGAACTTGAAAGTGTTACTGTAAAAAGTTTGATTGAAAGAAAAGAAAAGAAAGATACGAAAATGAAAAAAAAAGAAGAAAAAGAAAGATGCAAAAGAAAAAAAAATGAAGAAAAGAAAAAGAAAATGAAATGAAAAAATGAAAAAAAGGAAAAAAAGGAAAGGAAAAAGAAAAAGAAAAAGAAAGAGAAAACAAAACAGAAGAAAAAACAAAAGAAGATAAAAAAATAAAACAAAGTTTCCTTGAACTACGTTCGACTTGATTCCGAAAGGATACGTAGGCAGCCTCTTCTGGGGTTCAGTCACACCAAAATAAAAATCCGAAGTCCCCCAAAAAGTGAAACTGGGGCAGATGTTATAATGGTTCGGCGATGATCTCGCCCAAAAGGTTCCAAAGTTGTAACTCAATCCAAATCCTTTTTACCCAAACCCTGTTCAAGTCCTTCCGATCAATCGGTGAGAATGTTCAAGGATCAAAAAATACAGCTACTTGGATCCGATACAGTCAAAATGAGAGAAATAAAATGAGAGAGTCTTATTAGTGAAAACCCACATGGGCACCGTAAGGTGATGGTAAGCAGAGAAATAAAATGAGAGAGTCTTATTGGTGAAAACCCACACGGGCACCGTGAGGCGACACTAAGCAGAGAAACTAGAAATGAGAGTCTTGTTAGTGAAAACTTGCAAAGAGCACTACAAGGCGATGGTGAGAAGAGAAATGAGAGAGATCAGCTCGTGAAAACCCGCAAAGGGCGTCCCTGATCGAAAAGAGGATCCTCACAGCCATCGGCATCAACAGAGTCCTGGCAAGGTTCCTCGACTTCAAGGCAAAGTTGTGATGAATTTCTGAGAGTTGGACGGTTTACACAAATCAGGCATCCAGCCCAAAAGGCATGTCATGTTCATTGAAGTCCGCATGTGCTCCAGATAAGTCCTTCTTTCCTTTCCCCGAAAGGGATACCTCTTGTTTAAATTCATCCATTCCATTGCTTGTTTTCTTTGGATCCCTTTCGGTCTAATTCTATTCTGAAACTAACATAAAGAAAGGATGGTAAGACTGATTTACAGGGCTTTCGTTTGATACAAGCTAATGTGCAAAAGGCACCCAGCCTCGTCAGGGGAATCAAGTCGACCTCGACTGGCCATGGCGGCTGATGCTTCGAAATCAAAACTTTCGGAAGGAGAAAATCAAATTGAAGTGCCTATAAAGGCAAATGAAGTTGAAAAGGTTGTGTCCCACGTGGCTAACCGTCTTGGCGAAGTTTTGAAAAGCCAAGGTACCCAAATGATTTGAAATTAAAGTTGGAAGAAAGAAGCCAGAAACGAAAAGCCTACGAAGGCAAAACAAAGTTGAAAAAGGTTAAGTCCCACGCGACTAGCCGTTGCGCCAAAGTTTGAGGAGCAAAAGTTCCCCAATGCTCCGAAGTTTAAAAAAAAAAGAAAAAAAAAAGAGAGAAAAAAAAGAAGAAGAAGAAAAGGAAGTCAAAAAGGAAAGGCCCGCAAAGGCGAAATAAGTTGAGTCCCCCGTGACAAATCGTCATGGCAAAGTCTGAAAAAACCAGAGGTTCTCCAGGGCCTGAAATGAAATCGGTCCTCAGGGACCGAGCAGTTGCAGTTGAGATCTTCATCAAAGAAATTGGGCTGAGAGCAAGTGGTTGAAATAATCAAGGCCACAAAACCAACCACCATTTCAAACTGACAAATTGTTCTTTGTTTGAAAAACATGAAACAGGTGTAATTCAAAGCAACCTTGCAAAAAGCAGGTGCAACCAAAAAGAAACTGCGCAAGGGCTAGAAACAGCTTTGCAGCAACAATCCAAAAAGGGAAGTTCCTTCCAAAATTATTTCTCACATTTAATCATTCTATGAAAATAAAATAAAAATATAAGAAGAAGAAAAATTCAAAAAAAAGAATCATGGTAGCCTAGGGTCCCTAATCTCTAGCTATGTTTTCCCAACATAGGGTCCCATTCCCTAGTCACTGCCAACATAACCTGGTAGTATTCTTCAGTATAGGGTTCCACTCCCTAGTTGATCCCCGGGATAACCCGTGGACCTCCCCGGCATAACCCGATGATCTTTTTCTTTTCCGGCATAACCCGATGACTTTCCCGGCATAACCAATGGACCTCCCCGGCATAACCCGTGGACTTTCCCGGCATAACCCGTGGACCTCCCCGGCATAACTCGTGGACTTTTCCGGCATAACCCGAGGATCTTTTTCTTTTCCGGCATAACCCGATGACTTTCCCGGCATAACTCGTGGACCTCCCCGGCATAACCCGAGGACCTTTTTCTTTTCCGGCATAACCCGTAGATCTCCCCGGCATAACTCGAGGATCTTTTTCTTTTCTGGCATAACCCGATGACTTTCCCTGCATAACCCGTGGACCTACCCGGCATAACCCGAGGACCTTTTTCTTTTCCGGCATAACCCGATGACTTTCCCGGCATAATCCGAGGACCTTTTCTTTTCCGGCATAACCCGATAACCCCCCCCCCCCCGGCATAACTCGAGGACCTTTTTCTTTTCCGGCATAACCCGATGACCTTTCCCGGCATAACCCGTGGACCTCCCAGGTATAACCCGAGGACCTTTTTCTTTTCCGGCATAACCCGATGACTTTTCCGGCATAATTCGTGGACCTCCCCGGCATAACTCGAGGACTTTTTTCTTTTCCGGCATAACCCGATAAACTTCCCCGGCATAACCCGTGGACCTCCCCGGCATAACCCGAGGACTTTTTTCTTTTTCAGCATAACCCGATGAACTTTTCCGGCATAAGTTTGGAAACGGATTACTACAAAGCTATTAGAAATGTAGATTAAAACTAGTAGAGATTCGAACATCTGAGCACAGGGAGTGGAAACATAGCTCTTAACTCTCAAGTTTAGATGAATTACTAATACTTTATAATCACCCAAATTTTGTATCGTGGCAGAGGCTTTATTTATAATCCGTGATTTGCGTCTGACACGTTATTAGAGGCGGAGCCAGGATTTCAAGCTTATGGTTTCAGGATTCTAATCTTTTTAAGTTATTGGGTTTTTAAGCTCCACCTCTGCACGTCATAACATATTTGCACCATGCACAAGGACTGGAAATCAGTGTCACCATGTCTATGAATTAGCAACAAGTTCTTATTTCTGGATAGCTACCATGAATAAAACTTCAATTTCAAACTTTTCATTTCGATATTTGTGGATCAGAAACAAAAAGGCAGAAAGACTGGTGAGTTCTTGATCCACTAAGGTTGGCTCACTTCAAGCTAGGGGTGGGCATAAAATTCGAAAAATCGAATTGCGAACCGGACCAAATTAATTTGGTATTTCGGTTTCGGTTTTTTTCGGTATTTCGGTCTATTTCGGTATTGCAATTTCGGTATTTTGGTACGGTCCACGGTATTAAAATTCTGAATAACCCAGCCCACTGCCCATCGCCCCAGCCCTAACGACCAAGCCCAAACCCTTCTTTATTTAATTTTCAGCACCAGCAATGCCCCAGCCCAACTGCCCAAGCCCACTCTAAACTCTAAAGGTTAGCTTAGCTGGTTAGGGACTTATGGCATTAGCATTTAGAAATTTAGACTTAGACTACAGTATAGTCTTGAGCGGCGATTTGGCAATTTGGGCATTTGGCGATTTCCGACTTTCGACCTCCGACTCCTCAGTCCTCACTCACGCTGCTGTTGCGACTTGTGAACTTGCGATAGTTTCAATTTTCAAAGGTATGTTTCTACTTTCTAGCGATGGAAATGAATTTGATGAAGATTTCTAGCGAGTTCTGCTGTTGAGAATCATCTCAACTTTTTCTCCTTCAGCATAACAGGTAAATCAGCTAGCATGTCAGAATTGACCAGCCTCAAAAACATGTATAAATACGACGAGTTGTGATACTTCATGGTTTACCTTCATCTCCGCAGATATAGAAGGATGATAAATGACACTCTTACAGATGAAAATTATGTATGGCAGTTGATGACAATCTACACTCAAAATTTTACAAGTGGAATTTTAACTCAGCAGGATAAATAGAAAGGCTTTGCCTTACAGAGTAATGGCAATCAGTTTTAGATGACTAGATATATAGAAATAGAAATAATATAGTGGTCTCTACACTAAACTTGGGTGTATGGTTCAAAACAGATGGAATCCATTAGTATGACAACGCCTTTTGGAGCTGAGACTTAACTATAGACAACTTTGTTGCCACCAGAACCTGGAACCAGATCAAGTGGAGATATGCTACTTGAGGCCATGGGGATGTTACATAGTCTGTACATTTCCCTGAGACTGAGTGTGAGATTTGGCTGCCCCTTCTTTCCATCCTTTTTGACGTGCCCTCATCTCCCACGTAGCAGTCAGTTTCTTTTGTGCCAATAAAGCTACATCAGTTTTTTCCCTTGCCTCTTCACATGTCTCCATTCCAAAATTGCACTTGACTGCCTCTTTCATATATTGGGATGTCAACTTTTTTGCTTCAAGAAGTGCCATGTCAGCCTTCTGTTGATTTTCCAAGGCCTCAGATTCTCGCAATTTAAGTTCCTCCGACAACAAGTCAGCAAAGTTCTTTTCTGTGTCTTCACCAACATCTGGATCACGCTTAGCACAATCTACAAAACATTGAAATAAGAACGGAAATCCAAGATTTTAGATCTCAAGTCACAAAATATAAATTTCAATCCTCAAAAAGTAGAGTTAATGGTTACTAGAATGAAAGAGAAAAAATATAGGAGGTTTGCTGTTAAAGTGAAAGAGCAAAAATATAGGAGGTTTGCTGTTAAAGCGAAGAAATTCAAATCTTTTTGATAGGACGATTTGGAAAATATTTTAATTTAGGTTAACACATTCATGAATCAAAGGCATAGAAATATTGCTAAGAACTATAAAAATAAAGCTTGATAATCATTGAACCAATATGAAATTCACTAATTTGGCCCAAGATTAGAAGTTGAAAACTATAATTTTGAATTAATGGAGATATTTTAGCAGGATTTTGATTCCATATTTGCAGCTATCAAAATATAGAAAGCAAGACAGTGGCAACAAATTGATTTCTGCTTCATTTAGAAAGGAGATCAAAACAAACTATTGAGATCTTTTAATCAAATGACCAGATTCACAAGTGGGTCTTTAACAAAATGGCCAGATTCACAAAATGGGTCTTTAAGTAAGTGAGTGAGAAGATTAACAAAACGGGTTCACAAAATGTAAAAATTCTTCTTAGTTAAGGGCAAGATAAGAGCAGATCAGGGGCAAATGTGAGTACCCGGCGGAATGAAAAAGAAGGGTTCAGAATTGCAATCACAATTACAAGGAGGGCAAGTAGTAACTGAAGAAGAAGAAGCAGCTATGCCTTCCATTAACTGCCAATACAAAGGTGGACCTAAAATATAGGTTGCTAAGCTTATTGCCATTAAACCCAATATTGTTTTCAACATCTTCGGACTACATGCTGATCGATTCAACGCCATTGGTCCTCCTTTGTATTTGCCTTATGAGTGGGAATTTTTTTTTGAGTGTACAGATTGTTAGTAGTAGAGACCAATAGCAGGAGATGAATGAGAGTGTGGAATGGAGATCAGCTATTTCTCTCTCTTCTACTTTTTCAACAGTCGTGACGCGTTTGGGAATCTACAGTCTCGCTCACGGTCTTGCACAACTTGCTCACGTTCTTGCTATGCCAAGTCAGCCTTACTACACTCAAGATCGCTAAGAGAATGGAAGAAAGAACGCAAGAGAATTGTTAAAGAAAGCTTTGTATTGGAGAGAACTTGAATTGTTTGATTGATGAATTACAAATGAGTGGCCCCCTTTATATACTAGTCTCCTAGGGGCTAGTGTGTAAATATTAATTATTATACAAGTCCTTGATATTTACAAGATAAGGGCTTTCTCTAGAATTCTCTACAAGCCTAGAAGATTCCAAGGACTTTCCTAGCAAATCCATAAGGATCTAGGTTCTTCCTACGGAAATATCCATACTTATCTAGAATCTTCTCACAATGCTAGCCTTCTTCTTATGTAAGCTTCCACATGGTATTAATATATGCCAAATGGTGCCTATGTGGCATGATGACATGGCGGGTCATCACACTCTCCCCTGTCACACCTCCTTTTTTCACTACACCACCCTGAAAGGATCGTGTATAAGGGAGTTTTTCCAATTTAAGTGACATTATTCGAAATGGGATTATTTATTTATTCAGAGTCGCCACTTGGGATAGGTTTGGCTTTTGGTGTCCCAAGTCACCGGTTTATCTTGAATCCCAAATCGAGAAAATTTTTGACTTCCCGAGTGGAGTCTGCAAACCAGAAATTCTGAATAAGGAATTCTGTTGACCCGGGGGAAGGTGTTAGGCACCCCCGGATCCCGTGGTTCTAGCACGGTCGCTTAAACTATTATAAATGAATTAATATCTGATTTTAATACATGTCATCCTATAGTGCAATTTTAAAATTATTTACCGCTTTTGATTAATTTTAAAGAAATTGAACGTCGTTTAAAACATGCTTTTGGATCACGGCACATGAAATGCACCCGAATCCGCGACCCATTTTATTCAACATTTTGGGATTTGGATTTGGGTCACATGAAATGCACACCCGAATTTAGGAAGATAAAATTATTAAAGAACGTGCCTAAAGCGACTAACGTGTTATTAACTTTGTGGGAGGCCATGAAAATTCGCTAAATGGCACGTCCTGAGTTCTAAATATTTTAATGTGAGTATTTAAACAGGGCCATGCAATTTATGAATTTTATTTGGCGCGGCGCACCTCGATTTATTTTAAAGGCCATCCTAAAAGGGACTATTATTCTCTATTAAAGATTGTCTCTAAAGTCCTAATTAATTAACATTATGAATCAATCGTTGTTCAAGGCATTCAAACAAACTCGGGCCTCAAGATCAAGTCCAAACTCAAACAAACAGACCTTCAGGATCGAAGACCGCTTAATTCAAATTTGCTACTTAACTTGGAAGGCCCAAGCCCATATAATAAAATTAAATCAATAATTCCAAATACAGCTTCAAGCATCCAGTACATTGGGCTTCAAAAATTAGCCCAAGAGTGAGGGACAATTCTGGACTGTTATTGTATAACTGGGCCATGTTAAATCAATTCTTTATGGCCCACACGGTCCAGGTAATAATCAAATTAAACTGAACTAGCTTTACTAAATTAATAATGATTCAAATTATAAACTAATATCTGGACTTAATTTCTGATGCACATGAAACATGAAACTAGAATTTAAGAGAAAGCTAATGATGGACGTTGAGATGCAATCTCACATACAAATAGAATTGCAACATTTTATTCATGTGAATCCACTAGGCTAACGGACCTCTCATAAACAGATATGAAAATCATTGACCACTGATATTGAACGAAAAATAGATCACCTGTAATTCTTAAATGCCTAAGCTTAATGAATTACAAGTTTTCAATTCCTTCAAATGACTTCAAATGCTCAAATCGCAGGCTAAACCATAACAAACTCTCAATTTCGAACTAATAGGCTAATAGATCTACTCAAATTCCTATAAAGTCCTGCTTCAATTACAATAACCTATATGATGTGTATAGTAAGCTATATGCAAACAATAAACGTCCAGTTTTCAATTACAATGTTTCCAAAGGGAAAATGATAGAAATCATCCTACAAATACAGGGAGTTATTGAATGAAACAGTAATTCTAGTGCACAAGCAGACATGTAAAACATAATAGATCTTCTAATCCTCTTATTTCCTTCTTCAAATCAGCCTTTCAACAGTACATAGGGATTTTGAGATGTATGTACCTGGAAATGTGTTGAAAGTAAGAAGATGAAGGATCAGCAGCAGTAAACAGCAATTAACAGCGGCCTAAGGTTAACTTCAAACTCAGAGAGTGATACCAAGCAAACAGGGAATGTTTTCCAATAAACACCCAAACTCAGCTTAAGCGACCCAAATTGAACTCAAAATAACCTCCTGGATCCTCTAAAACTTCAACTACTGAAGATATAAGGAACTTAAGCCATTTGACCTCGGATGAGCTGTGATTTGGCTAGATTTTTCAGTNATTATCTCAGTAAGAAGTTCACCCCATACGAGGCCCGGTATTCTCTGTTGGAACGCACTTGTTGTGCTCTGACTTGGGTAGCTCAGAAGTTGAGGCACTAGTTCTGTGCTTATACTACGTATCTCATATCAAGGATGGATCCTTTGAAGTACATCTTCCAGAAGCCCATGCCCACTGGCAAGCTAGCCAAGTGGAATATCCTGTTGAGTGAATTCGACATTGTCTACGTGACTCAGAAGGCAATCAAGGGACAAGCACTAGCGGATCACCTTGCGGAAAATCCTGTGGACGGAAAATACGAACCCCTGAAGACGTATTTTCCTGATGAGGAGGTATTATTTGTAGGAGAAGACATTTCAGAATCCTATGATGGTTAGAGGATGTTTTTCGATGGTGCAGCAAATTTCAAAAGAGTTGGCATAGGAGCAGTTCTAGTGTCAGAAACCGGCCAGCATTATCCGATATCCGCCAAGCTCAGGTTCCCCTGCACTAACAATATGGCCGAGTACGAAGCCTGCATCTTAGGGCTCTAGATGGCCATTGACATGAACATCCAATAGTTGCTAGTGATTGGAGATTCAGATTTGCTTATACATCAGGTCCGAGAAGAATGGGCAACCAAGAACTCCAAGATACTCCCATACCTACATCATGTACAGGAGTTGAGAAAGAGATTCACAAAGACAGAATTCCAACATGTCCCCAGGGTCCAGAATGAGTTCGCCGATGCATTGGCTAACCTGGCCTCTATGATACAACATCCAGATAAGAATTTAATTGATCCTATTCCCGTGAAGATCTACAATCAGCCAGCTTACTGTGCTCACGTCGAAGAAGAAGCAGACGGAAAGCCTTGGTTTCATGACATCAAGGAATATTTAGCAATAGGAGAATACCCAGAGCTTGCAAATACTTCTCAGAAGCGCACGCTTCAAAGACTGTCCAATAATTTCTTTCACCGCGGAGGAATCCTGTATAGGAGGACTCCAGATTTGGGATTACTAAGGTGTGTCGACTCGAAAGAAGCATCTAAACTGCTAGGGGAAATTCATGCCGGGACCTGTGGACCACATATGAATGGTTTTGTCTTAGCCAAGAAGATACTCCGGGCAGGTTATTATTGGATGATGATAAGTTAGGATTTTAACATGATTATACCCCTACTTGCTATTGCTTTTGTTATGAATTTCCACAAAATAATCCCAAAATCCTTACAAGTTGCGCTTGATTGCAGGTTTGAGCGACAAGATGACAAATGTCAAAGATCGGCTCAAAACGGAGTGAAACCTGCCAAGTGTCAAAGACCAATTGAAGTGGGGAACAAGAAGACCTAGCGCGGACCGCACTATTTTGCGACGCGGCCGCGCTAGGAGATTCAGAGACTGGGTCATTCAAGGGCAATCTGCGTGGTCCGCGCTCCTTTTTACGCGGTCCGCGTAGATGAGATTCAGAGAGATGGTGTTTTTGCCAAAGTACTGCCACGCGGCCGCGCTCCATTTCTACGCGGTCCGCGCTCCATTTCTGCGCGGTCCGCGGTCCCAACTTCGGAGAACAGAGTTCAAGAGTCCAAGAGCCAACGCGGTCGCGCTCCCTTTTTGCGCGGTCCGCGCCTACCCCGCAGGGGCATTTTTGTCCAGATTTTCTAGCTCGGTATAAATAGATCTTTTTGACATTTTTAGGTTATGTTTTAGCTGCTGAACGAGAGCTGCGCTCGTGAGAAGTATTTTGTAGCCTATTTTGGCAATTTTACTCTTGAATATCATACATTTTAAGTAGTAATCAATTATTATGTTCATTTCATCATCTATTTCTACTGTTTCTTCTTTAATTATGTCTAGCTAAACCCATTAGCTAGGATTGTGGCTCAACCCTAGTGTGGGTAGTTAATGGGTGTTGCATTCTAGGGTGAGATTGAGATTGGGTATTTGTTATTTGGGTTGATTTTGTATTTCAATCTAGAATTTGTGGTTGCAAACATGAATTCAAGCTTAGTGGGTCTAACTCTTCTTGAGAGAGAGAGAGAGTCATATGACCTAAAAGTTAACCCAACAAGGAATTGGGATGGACCCATGAGAATGGTAATCCCAATTAACGGGTTAAACCTCGAAAGAGTAATTACCCTACTTGAGCCCTAGTTGCCCGGTCTAATTGGCCTACCTAATTGGTCTCGAGAGAGTCAATTGGGCAAAATTGTTCTCTCTACCGAGAGGTGTGAGAATGAGTGCAATTGTGTAACGGCTATAGCACTAAACCCAGATTTATCAATCTCCCTTAGTAGTTTCTACCCGTTAGCTAGCCACATAGGTAGTGTCACAACCCTAGTGCCTTTTTCCTATATCAAGCACAACTTAGCAATATTTCTTAGCATAATTTAGCTTTAATCCTTAGATTACAAAAGTAGT